GAAATAGTGGTCTTAAATTGTTGCAAGAATGTTTATCTTAGAGACTATGACAAAATTTCTTCTGCTATGAAAAATGAAGCATTGTAACAGATTGTTTAGGGAGATCGTGCAGTAGCTACCATGGGAGCGTTTCAAGAGCTGATCCAATAAACCTGCCAGAACTGTAGCTTCAGTCTGTAGCTTCAGGACTGTAGCTGTAGGTGTAGCTGTATCTTCAGTCGAGGATGGCCGACGTAACTTCTCAAGGACCCATCTAGTGCAGCTTACCTACTGCAGGTATTCATCTGATGCATTTAATATTTCATGACACAGCAAGTAAAAAGGCCAGAGCCTGAAGGAGTATTTCTTTGAAAGAGTAAGAAAAATCACAAGTACTAGTGCTGACATACAACAACCCTCCATGATACCTAAGGTAAAAAAACCACACCAAACCAGAAGAGGGACTTATTGGACATGCTTTCTGAATCAGCCTTCTTTTGAGTCATTTCTCAGAGTACAAGATGAACATAATGTCTGATCATCAGCCATTAGAAGAAAAATCACAAACTACTGCCAAGACACTCAAGCAACACATAGATTATGGAGATTCCAACAAGCTGATCTAAGACACTGCTGCCAAAGTGGGAGACTGTCAGCATGCTCCAGGATCTTTGCATGTAGGGTGGGAAGCTGTGACAACCAAAGCGAGTTTCAACCAGGATGATGTGCTACAGAAAGAGAACTATCTCGTGTTTCAGAGCAATCCAGACTGCATGAAGCAATTAGATGCCGGAGTCCCAGAGGATGGATGAACTGCATATTGTATACAAAACTGTGTTTAAATGGGATTAGCCAAAAATCCTAGCAGATTTAAAAACTGATGTAATAAGATGAGTCTATGCTTCAACGCCAGGCAAGCAGAAGGACACGTCTGCTAGCCAACTCTCCACTGACATGCATGAAAACAGTGCAACAGATGAGAAGAGCTCAAGGATCAACAACAGGGGACTAGCCCAAAATCCCAGCCCACCCGTGGTAAGATGTCAGAACAAGTCTGATGATTTTTAATGAGGGTAACCGCAGGGTTTTCAGTAAGTTCCCACTAACAAGAGGCAGGCTAGGAGGACATGCAGGCATTTAACATGACACGGAAACAGAAGAGGGATTTTGCAATGCTGTTGTGGCTAAGAAGCCACATCAAAAAATCAAATTATTCAGTACTGAAGGAGGATGTGAGCTACGAATGTCTCATGCTGGACAACTCCAAAGGCATCAGAGGTCAAAGAAACTAATGGATAAAGATCTAAGCAAGAGGAGGGCACTTCTGCTCAGCAGCGCCACTCGTTGCAAAACACTCCTCGGGGTACAGCAGAGATTGAACTGATAGGATAAGGATTCATGGTTTCTCTTCCCAAAACACATATTTTTCTACAGCCCAACCAAGGCAGCTGTGACAAAGAACATCAAACGAGGCGCGCAATTATAAGCGAGGAGCCACTGACCGGAGGCTGCTGGGCACAAATTCACAGTTCTTCCTATAATCACAAAAAACAGAGGCAAAAGCATCATCTTCAGTAAATTACAGGTCATAGGAAGTACACCAGAGAGGAACTCAATCATAAAGTAGCTGCAAACAGACAGGGGGAAAAGTGCCAGGCGTCAGCCAGCCTTAGCAATCTTTGCACGTGTTGCAGAAAATTTGGAAAATAAGACAGGACAAAGGAATAAGGAGGATAGGACACAACAAAGGACTACAGAGTCAAAATAAGCCCTCTATACCAACAGCAGCAACACAAACAAGGAGCAGGAAACTGCTGACCACTAGCTGGTGGGCTCCTATGATCTGGCAGGAAAAGCCTTGGCCCTACGGACAGGCACATAGTACCCAACAGCTGGTCCTAACTAGTTATTAATGCAGAGGACAAAAGAGCATCAACTGCTATAAAGAAACATCCAGGAGCTGCACAGAACATGGAGAGAAAAATCCAGGTGGAGAAAGCACCACGAAAGCCATTCTACTTGCCAAAATGCTAGTGATGGCTGTGGCTCCTCTGTTAGCAAGTCTTCCAAGGAAGCAAGCAAACCAAAAGAAAGCCCACTGTGTTTCATAAATCTGGAAAAAAAAGCCCATCTGGACTCTGGCCACATTAACACTAAATACGGAGACACAGAGGACCACAATTACAATTTGGCAATTACTAAAACCTAGGTCCTTCATGAAGTTTAGAAGAAAAGGTTCATAAAAATTTAATACAAGTATAGTTTCTATTATCCCAGTTAGCATACAAAGTCCCATCTTTCATACCAAATATTTAATCATGTTAATATTTTTAAGATTTTCCCCTGAACAATGCAAAGGGTTGAGTCAGAGTTTGCTATCCCAAGTATGGTCAAACAGACTGTTCACATCTCCTTCCTGACTGGATTAACTCTTACCATGGAGCTGTTCAAGATTTAAAACTGCGTTAAGATTTGCCTTGTTGGGGAACATGCCTGAAAATTCAACCTAAGGACTATGGCAAACAAACCAAGCCAAGAGTTAAAGTGTAAGTACAGTTTAAGTTAGCTTAAAATATATTTTTAATACGTATCTGCACAGGCACTGCTTTGAATTCTAGGCTGCTCTAACAGTCTTCAAGACAATTAATCAGTGTAAGTAACAAATGTGAAATTCTAACAGAACTTTCACAGGGTTCACTTTTTGAACTTGTTCTTCTAAGAATAAGGATATGAGATCTAGCTGATATGAATAAATAACATAAAAGAAGCTCCACTTGAAGCTCCGAGAACAGCTGCAGTGTTTTTTCTCCCTGCAGCTCTGCTCCCTAAACCACACTGCCTCAGCGAACAAGTAACAATAGGAACGAGAAACTGCTAGTATTCAGCCTAAAACCAAGGACCTTTAAAAATATTATTCATTATTTTAAAGGGCCTAACACCTCTAAAAATATTATTCAACATTTTATAGAAATGTATTCAAAAATACAAATAATGCACTAGAAAATGAAGTATGAAAGAAAAAGACAAAATAGCCATAAATGAAACACCACCATTTAATGTTTATTGGCTGAGGGGGCATTGCATAGGGAGGTCGTCAGCAGGTCTTGTTAACAACCGCTACCCTTCATCTGGTACTTCTTTTTCTCTCCATTTACTCTCCACCTAGGTATCAAGTCCTTCATTCTACATACTACACCTGCAACTGGAAATTAGGCATTGATTTGCTTTTCCACACAAGCACGTACTAAAATATTTTTACAAGAAGGGACAAATGCAAGTTGTGGATTATTTAGTGAGCTTCCAGTCTTAGCAAAAGACTACACTGAGTGAAAGCAGTGGAAATATTTTGTCATGGGAGTGTTATTCCAATGCTCATCTTACCTTTTGAATGCAGGCTTACTTTCCCTTAAAGTATAAAAATGATTGTTGGAAAAGGCAGATAAGCTTGGATAAAGATATACAGTGAAGTACTGATGCAGAACAATGCTTTAAAAAAAAAAAAAATCTAAGCTCTGCTGACTATCAGGACCACGTGCTTCAGGTCAGGAAGGTGATGAAGTGCTTTGCTAAATATAGCCTTAAAATATGCCTTCAGAACCTATGCATAATTTAAAAAGCTTGATTGTTTATGATGTCTGTTACACTCCACTCTTTGTGGAAATGCAGAGTGCTTGCTATATTGTATATTATTATGATACAAATACTTAGCATATTGCATATTATCATAATCACAATATAAATGCCTAAAACTAACTGGTTCCTTTCTCCTTCTCTAAAGGGCAGTAGTTTTAAACCCATCCTTCACTTCATACACTGAGCTGCAATTCTGTGTTAAACAATGAAAGCTTCCAATATTTAAGAAACCACTTTATGAATGACAGTACCAGTCTTCAGAGAGTGTGAGGCAGGATATACATAACTCAGGCATACACCTGGCAATAGTTACAAAGACCTGCTAATAAATACACGTATCTGTTCTACCCTAACACTTACCAATACCAAGTAACAGGGATCGGAAGCCTGAACAAAATTCTGCATCAACTAGGCAATAAACATGTTATTTTTATTCAACCAAAACTATGAGATTGTCCATTCCCACTTCACATTGTTGAAAAATAAAAGCTGTATAAAATAATACTGTGAGATACTACGCATACTTAAAAGGACCATCATTCAAATAAGGACAGATGCTAGAAAATATGTTTCCTAAAATTCACAGAAGCATGAACTAAGGTGAAACTTGTATGAAAGCACAAATGAACTAAACTGATCACGTTAATTAATCTAAATAAAGTGTGAAGTTTGTTATACTTGTAACAATGGGGGTAACTTGTTAGATCTTAACTATAAAAAAATAAAAAAGAAGCCTCAGAAACTGTATTATTTTATTTATATACTTTAAATCATTGAACACTGTCATGACACAGCATTTGTAAAATGGACAGTAATTAAAGAAACATTCATCAATACAAGGAATTCACTAGAGTGCTATTTATGAAGAAATTGTATTCAAGAAGCTGTGGTGGTTTGGTGAAGTTCCAGCTGACTGGAAAAGGGGAAACAAAACCCCCATCTTTAAGAAGGGGAAAAAAGAGGATCCAAGGAGCTCCAGGCCAGTCAGTCTCACCTCTGTGCCTGGCAGGATCATGGTGCAGATCCTCCCAGAAACTATACTAAGGTACATGGAAAACAAAGAGGAGATTGGTGACAGCCAACATGGCTTCACCAAGGGCAGATCGTGCCTGAAGAATATGGTGACCTTCTACAATGGGGTCATGACCTTGGTGGATAGAGGACGGGCAACCGATGTCATCTACCTGGACTTGTGCAAAGCCTTCGATACTGTCCCTAAATGGGGGACATCCTTGTCCCCAACTGGCCATCTTCAAGGCCAGGCTGGACGAGGATTTGAGCAGCCTGACCTAGTGGAAGGTGTCCCTGCCCATGGCAGGGGGGTTGGAACTAGATGGTCTTTAAGGGCCCTTCCAACCCAAACCATTCTGTGACTCTATGAAAAAGAAAAATATTTTTCACTTAAATCACAAAGCTAAATAACTGACATGGAGCGAACTTCTTTGCACAATATAATTCATTTCTTATTACAAATGAAGATGTGGGATTACAATCTAGTGTTCAATAACAAATGCTTTACACACTGCAGCAAGTTTTATGAACTGAAGTAATTTTTGCTTTCAAATTTTGATTCACTGCCCAAAATAAAGAAATAAATGCTGTGCTTTCTTTCAAATCCTCTAAAATTATTCTTTAAACAACATTTTTCAAATTTTTCGTTTTTTCCACTCTGGCTTGTCTGTTTCATCTTCTTCTGGTTCCACTTCTGCAAAAACTGTTTTTGGCTGTGTTCTAGAAAACATTAAAAAGATGAAAACAATGGTCAGAACACAATTCATTATCAGAAACTATATTGGACATGCACTAGACACAAATTACATCCTTTCTATACTGAAAAAAAGAGCATCCTGGATTTGCTCATTTTTCATTTTCAACATAAACCTATTAATGAACCTTCTTAGAACTGAAGAAACTTGCAGTTCTTAGGCAAACAACAAGCATAGCAAAACCAAACACATCTTTTGCAAGTATTATTTCCTCATCAGCTTGCAATCATCATCTGTGTATTCCATGAATAGAATTAAGTTAGAAGAGAGGAACATATCAATGTAATACAATGCTAGAAAAATAGAGCCACAGATGTCCTCATAGCATGACTTTAAAAAAAGAAACGTCCGTTTTGATACACTGTAGTATGACAGCAGTCAGTAAATGAAAACAGAACAGCTAAGCCAGGTTTCTGGCTTAGCCTGTGCATGAAAAAACTAGCTTATCCTCCAGAGACTTGATCCAGCACTACCGTAATGTAAGAAAAATAATGATCTTCATGGGGGAACACGGTGTATTCTACAGTCAAGTTTGATGGTATCTATTCCTCCACTGTTTACTTGTATTTTAAATAACACTTAAACTTTATAAAAATAATTATTGATTACTTTTTAAACGAACACAGTATCAAGTAGCATTTCAATAAACTGTTTGGATATTCAGTTCCCCTGTTTTACACTTTAATCGCTGCATGGTCCCCTTTTCCAACCTAATTCCTAGCACAATCACTGCAGAGCTGAAACTACTAGATTCCTATGCTGGCTGTGCTCAACTTGTAGTCCTTAAAACAGACCAAACCAAGTACAAAACACCGCCAAGCAGTCATCAGCTCATTAATGTATTAACTAATGTTTTTACAGCAGTCTAAGGTTGTGAAGCACTATTATTATAACAAGAGTTATTGGGCAGACTCTACAAAATGCCTAAACCTTAACAAAATTGTGTCTGCCTTACTTAACACAACAGGCATAAGTCAATGTTGCCACTGACTTCGAAGAGTAATAGCAAGCCATCAGCTACTAACCTGCAGGATTCTCTGCTTGCAAATATGTGGTGCAAAATAGATTTAAGTCACCCGAACTAGCCGAAGACAACTTCACTTACATACAGGATCTTTCTATTGGCCTACCTCCTCCTCCATCCTCCAAACTTGCCATGGAGGTAAGGAGTACACCAGAGATGGACCTGCCGCAGGACCCTGGTCCTGGGGTGCAGGCTGTATGTCCCATTACACCTAAGCAGACCTTGTACCAAGGTGAGGATTGACACTACTGGAAGTCAGGTAAATCATTCTGCCCTTCACTGAAAGCAGAACTAAAATTTTCTTTAAAAATCCGATTTAAAAATGCCAGTAGAAAATTATTACATAAACTCTACGTAACCAATCACTGAATGAGGATTAACAAAAAAACAAAAAAACAAAACAAAAAAAAACCAAACAAACAACAAACCACCACACAACACAAAACCCAAGCAAAACAACCAACTTGGAATCTAAAACAGACCAGGGATGCAGGCTTCATTGGCTGAAATACTGGATTTTGTTAGCTGCTCTAGATGTGGAATCTCCTTTTTTCAAAACATACTGATGGAAGTTTATTTAGCCCACTTTAAGAGTGTACCTCCCTTGCATCCCGACAGGCAAAAGTTATCTAAATGCAACACAGGTGGATGTCAAGTCAGTATGGAGATGCTTGTTAGAAAAGCACAATTTAATAAAGTGTAAACTGATCTTTTCTGACCACAAACCTGCAACTGTCACAATTTTAGTTAGAAACTTCCAACCAGGAAGAGTGACTTAGTCTGTAAAACAAGCATCAGAACCCACGTATTTTCCAGGACAAGAGTGGCATAGTGAAAAGTTATAAACTTCCACTACTGTTAAGTATGCTGCTGAGTCCAGTAAAACTGGGTGTAGGAGGAATTAAGATAGCATAATCTAGCAGTAACCAGCTAAATAAAAACATACTGAGGAAATCAAGTGTGCTTGCTATCTTGCTTTGTAAAATTAGCATGACGTGGCTGTAGCTTCAGCTCAGCTGAAACGAAAACTGTTCCACCTCCACAAGCTACACAGTGGTAACCAGGGCACCCAGGGTGATTCATACACCTGACCATTTTAAAGACGTACGCATAGAAATAGCAGTAACCAGCTAAATAAAAACATACTGAGGAAATCAAGTGTGCTTGCTATCTTGCTTTGTAAAATTAGCATGACGTGGCTGTAGCTTCAGCTCAGCTGAAACGAAAACTGTTCCACCTCCACAAGCTACACAGTGGTAACCAGGGCACCCAGGGTGATTCATACACCTGACCATTTTAAAGACGTACGCATAGAAAACTCTGGTTTTGTTATAACATTATCAGCAGTCATCTTTTACTTTAAACACAAATTGTTCTGCTCAGTAACTGCACTAGAGATTGCTAGTGTCGTAGGAGTTTGCTGCATGATTAATATTTATACAAACATTATCAAAACAGGTTTACTACTTCAAAACATTTTAATTTCTCAGGGCTAAATAATACATGTGGAAAGCAGTGCTCTTTTTCCCCACCAACTTTCTCAATTTTATTTAGCCTTGACTTTGAGGGTTGATTTCAGTTTGTTAGGGATGTGCTTGGCAGATCCCATAGGACACTGCCATGGAGGCCAAAGGGGAGCTGGTTGATCTTTGATGACAACCTCCTCTAAACACATTACACCCTGTCTACAGAAAGTGAAGACCGGAAGAAGCCTAGCATGCATGCGCAGGGATCTCCTGACTCAGATAAACACCAGACCTCCAAAAGGAAGAACACAGGCAGAGGAAGAATGGACAGCCTTTGCCAAGAGGCATTACGTGAGCACGGAGGAACCATGTTAGGAAAGCCAAAGCTCAGCTGGAGTTGAAACTGGAAAGAAATGTGAAAGGTTTCTACATCTACACCGACAAGCCAAAGGAATGCTAAGGAAAACGTGCTCAAAGGGGCAGGCAACCCACTTATACAGGATTTAGAAAATGTCAAGATACTCAGTGGTTTTTTTTTTTGGCTCCTTTTCGTTGAGAAGGTCTGTCCTCACAGCTCCAAGGACCACTACACTACCAGCAGAGTCTTTGGGAGGGGGTGAGATGTTACCAATAGAAGAGAAAGACAGAAACAGAGAGTATGTAGCTCATTGGACATACACAAATCCATGAGATCAGGTGGGATGGATCCAAAGGTACCGCGGGAGCTGGCTAATGTCATTGCAAGAGCACTCTATCACCTTTGAGAGGTCATGGTGATTGGGTGAGATTCTCAATGACTAGAAAAGGCAAACATCATAGAATCATAGAATGGTTAGGGTTGGAAGGGACCTTAAAGATCATCTAGTTCCAACCCCCTGCCATGGGCAGGGACACCTTCCACTAGACCAGGTTGCTCAAAGCCACATCCAGCCTGGCCTTGAAGACATCCAGGGATGGGGCATCCACACCTTCTCTGGGCAACCTGCTCCAGTGCCTCACTACCCTCTCTGTGAAGAATTTCTTCCTGACATCTAATCTAAACCTCCCTGATTTCAATTTATACCCATTACCCATTATCATCTTCATGAAGGGCAAAAGGAGGTTTTGGGGAACTACAGAATGGCCGACCTAAGCTCAGTCCTTGAGAGGGCTATGGAACAAGTCCCAGTGGAAGGTATCTCCAGGCACATGAAAGACAAGGTGGTGATAGGAACAGCCACCATGGATTTAGCAAGGGCATACAATGCCTGCCAACCTGCCTGCTGGTACAGGCTGACCAGAGAGGTGTTGTGGAATCTCCATCCTGGAAGATAACCAAACTTGGCTGGGCAAGTCCCTGAGCAACCTGATCTAAGTGAACATGCTTTAAGCAGGACGTTGGACTAGATGACCCCCAGAGATCCCCCTTCCTAACTAAATTATTCTATGATCCTGTGTTTCCACATGACTCTCACCTGAAACCAGTGTCTCATACACTGACAAATGCACTCCTGTTGTGGGTTTCACTAACAGGCAGCAAACAAAAGCAGGAAAACAAACGAACATGATTTATTCACATTGTATGTTTCTCTATTTCAGTGGTTTTCAACACATTCAGACATGCAGACCCTTAAAAAACGGGCCATGCAGACTGCTTTAAAATCACCATAATCCCTTTGATTATGAGTTGGTTTTCTTCAGTTACCTTTCAAGGACCCAATGAAAGTAGCTTACTGACATCTGAGGTTCATAGACTAGCAGCTAAAAACACTGCTAAAGCTAAGCCTGCTGCAGATGACAACTGCATATCACAGCAGTGACTCATGTCACAAACTTCTGAAATCATTTTCTTTGCAAAGACACAAAGAAAAAAGATGACTTTCAAGAATGCTTGGAAAACAGAATAATGTCATAAAGGCTATTTCCAGACTGAAAAGTGAAGGCTTTCAACATCAGGCCCCTTTGTATTCCTTATTTCAACAACCAGTCTGGCTCCTCTCTGAAACTCAGGGGCTTCCCTCTCAAAATTACCAATTCCGAAAAAAAAAGATTGAGTTTAAATATACTGACATGTGCCAACAAAATCACAGTTACAAAACACTGTGTTCAGCCCTGCTTCTTCAACTAAAGACACTTGAGCTGCTACAGGAATAACACCTCGCACACTGGTAGTGCCATTGAGAAAAACTTCGGTGAACACAGCTCAGCTACAAGCTCTTGCTTCGAGTCATTCCCTTTTGCCTGTGACAAGCAGCAATGACAAAGGCAGCAAAACAGACAACATCACTGAACCAGAAGGTATTTCCTAAGAACCTGGGTCTGTAGTGGTGGGGAGGGAAATTTCACCCTCACCTTCCCTATGTTGGAGAAGAGAGCTACATCTGGGCTTGATTAGGCTCTCAGCTACAATGCTGATCCTTCAGAGGGACATCTGAAGTCATTATAGTATCTCTGTACAGCTGTGTTAAAACAAACAGCTCACAAAGAATGTAATTTTCAAACATTTACAACTGATGCCTCAAGTTCCTTTCCTGTAGTTCTTTACTTGAAATATTCAATCTGTCTTTCTTCTACTTTCACTCCACTGAAATGGCTCCTGCCAAGGTCTCTAACAAGCTTTTTCCTGAAAAATCTCAAGATCTTTTCTTTATCCTCATCCATTATGACTTTTCTGCTGTGTTGATTGCATCTTTTTTGACACTTTATTCACACTGGGTTTCTGTGACATGTCATCTCCTGATTCAGCATGTACTTTTTACCATCCCCCAATACCCTTTTCAGCAGCATCTGTTTTTTTCACCCATCCTGTTGCATCTTACGTACTTCCCCCTCCTTTTCTGGCTCAAATTATAGGAGAAACAGAAAGGTCAGGGTAATGATAACAAGCTTAAAAAAATTTCAAGTGATAAATAATCTACCTGTCTCCAAAAATAAATTAGGCACCTTTAACTCCAACAGAAATGAAATATTTTTAAATACTGTGTATAAACTATCAGCAAAAGTCATGTTGCAGGTATTTCTTATAAGAATTATTGAAATTAAAATACAATTTAAAAAGCATTAAATCAGTTATCTGATTTAGAATTACCTAATCAGTATGAATCAAGACCAAATGAACTCTGAGCCAGTCATCACAATCAGTTATGAAAACTCTGATCGCTTAGAAAAATAGCCTATCTTAGTCTTCTCAGTCTAAAACTATTTAATAATTGTCACTGAAGAAAATTAAGTAACTATGGTTTCCTTAGACATTGTCTTAAGAAGGAAAATGAAAAATTGTAAGTGAATAACCATCCATTAGACAAGGCAAACCAAAAGCCTTGTCAAATGAGATATATCAAGTGGATAGTTTTATACCATATTTAAGTGAAAATTTACTAGAAGAAATGTGGAAAAACTGAGAGCATAGTAAAAAGAATAAACACTACTTATAAAAAAATGCACTGCATGTATTTTTTTTTAGGTCTCGAGACAGTATGCAATTTTAAATATGAGTATCACCCTTCCTAACCCTATAGAATACCTTACGCTATAGGAAAAAGCAGACAGTTTCCCTAGGTTTGTACAGTGCTCACTATTACGAGCTCCTAATTTTAGCAGGGACACTGGGGACACTCTTACAATCCAGTATTATGTGGTAATTTATATCAATTCCTTGCACTTTGCATATTTTATTATGCACGTCTCCATAAGAATCATTATATACAGGGCAAACATACATGCCCTGCAAATTCAGATACAGGATATAATTAAACACAGCTCTATATTATCTGAGTGTGCAGGCAAGCAGCTAATGAAACCTGCAGCTGTTAATACAGATCTCCATTTCTGAAAATGAAGAACATCAGACAACTATAAAATTTTTTTTTGCATTTCACTGTCTTAGCTTGTAGTATAATAATAATATCATCATTATTATTAAAATGCTCTTTGCATAGAATATATCTTAAAGTCAAGCTTTTAAAGCAAGGATAACAGCAGTTTCATTGGCATGAGATTTATCAGCTGACAAAACCATCAAGGCAGCATGCTTCTGTCTGCAGTCCAATTCCCCCACATACATATATCACCGTCTGGTGTGTAAGTTAATAGCAGTCTGGAGTTGCATCCTCCCCACTTCTCAGCCAGCTCTCTTCTTCCCCTGCAGCTACATCTTTAACAAGAAACTGTAATGAGATCTGCCCATCTGACACAGTAAGCCTTCTGTTAATACAGCTATGTTTTAAAACTTTCATGTCTACTACGTTGCAGGTGTCAGGGATGAAACTTAATATATAATCAATGAAGTTACTGAGCTAAAAATATACTGAGGTATCTATCTACCTGACGGAATGTGTGATCATATTTACTTTCAAGAAAGGGCAGTTGCCTATCTCAAATAAAACCAGATGCCTAAACTTTCAAAGTAAATTTAATCTCTAGCAAACATGAACTCTTAATTAAAAAAATCAATATTTAGCATACTCATTACAATACATGTTACAGAATCAGACTTTCAAACATTTCTTCTTTGGTACCAAGGGTGATACTGTATAATGCACTGACTTGATGTGCAACATCAAATGCTGTACCTCCTAATTACTAGTTTGGCATTCTTATTAACTACCTAGTTAAAGCCATGCTGGGTCTCAAGCTGCTTTGAAACAGCTATTTAGTTATCTTTGTGCACATGTGGGTCAAAACGGAAAACGAGTATCACCACCAGAAGCAGCTATGACTCTTAATATAGTTTCAGTTTCTGGAAAGACGTAGCAATTGTTTCACTGAAGAGCTAAACACTAATAAAGAAAGTAGAGTCAGGAAGGTACTAACGAATGTACAGCCTAGGAGATAAGACATGGCTGCAAACAAGAAAAAATAGTTTGTTATTGGCTTTGCCTGCGCTACTAATTCATTTCTTCTAAACCTTTTCCTTAAGCATTTTGGAATTACTACTTATACTAGGTAGACTATCTACCCATCTATAGGATTACCAAGATTTTACTATCATAATATTGATGAGGCTCTGGGTCGTGTAACAGCAACTGAACAAATTTCTTTACACTGAATTTTTGGTAGGGGCATCAGTGTGATTTTTAGTATTTCTATACCTTTAATCCCAAGATAATTCAAGCAGGTACTCAGGTCCTTATGTAGGAAAAATTCAAAACAAACACTTACGACATTCAAGAAATCATCTAAAATATGCTGTCATAACACCAAGTATATATTCTGACGGCTTAACCAAAGAATAAGTCAGAACTACAGGGCATTGGAAAATGTCTTGTCAACGGGACAGTACCTTATTAAAAGTTCTACTGCAATTTCAGACACTGATCTGGAGAAGATTCTGAATTCTAATCAACTTATAAAGTTTTAAAATAATTTTCTAGCACTGATAGGTACACTCTAAAAATGGAAATGTCAAATTTCAACAATTTAACTTCCTGGAAACTGCTATCTCCACAAAAGAGTATGACATATTCTTCGTTTACATATTCGTGGCAGCAATCCAGAAAAGACAAATTATACCATCAAAAATGTGTGTCTTCTATTTTTACCAAACTCCCACTGGCCTCTAGAAGTATTACTTTTATTTTTAATTGTTTCCTTACTTAGCATATGCTGGAGCAACCCAGTATGGATTCTCTGCCGCTTCCTTGGCGTGACGTAAAATAGCCTCTCGAGGGTTGCTATCATCCGTCTTATCCAGTGCAATATTCTTGACTATGTATGACGACAAGGTGCCTCCGTGAGTTCCAACACGCCCACCGCGACCTGGAGTAAAAAAAAAAAAGTAAGAAAGCGTATTTTAGAGAAAAAAGTTGAAGAAAAAAACCCCAGAGAAATATTGTATTGTGTCTGTAACAGTGATTGACAGAAAGAAGTTACTTAGTACTACAGGAAGGGTCTAATTAAAAGCAGTGTTCACTAAATTATACATCAATAAAACACTTAGAATTAAATCACTGCGATTATTAATTTATCCCAGGCAAGCACTCCAATCCAAGACAACATCTCACAGTGCTGGACACTGCCCATGTATATACAGTAGAGCTGACACCCAAAAGTCTGACTGCAAACCCTAACAAGGGTAGAATTCAAGCATGACAGGCTCTTTGGCATACAGCAGCCTGAAATGACTGTGACTAGATTACCTGGTCCTGCTACTGGAGGTTCAGGTTTGTGAGACTTCATGGGGTCCAGCCTATCCTTCTCCAGCTGTTTCCTGGTGCTTCGCTGCCGTGGTTCACGGAACATCGGAAGTGCATGTGCTGAAGAGTCACAGTTTGGAGAAAAAGAAAGGTTAGAAATTCCATTTTCTTTTTAAGGTTTCAATTACAAAAACAAAGACTGAGATTCTGCCTTGCAATGGAAAAAGTGGCTGGAGCAGCCTCCCAGTTCTTCTGTATCCAAGCAGTGGTTTACTGAGGTATGTTTTAGAGGGCTTTTTTCTGCTGGATGTTTTGAAGATTAAAGCAGCCAGATTGTTCCAGGGATCCTTCAGGCAGAAGCCTTTAATCTCAAACAGTCTGCACAGTTTATGTATATTTAATCTATTCCTCTGTCATTCAGTTCTCAACATTAGCATTGTGATCAATCAGTTGCTCTTTTCTGAACTTCTCATACTTTTACAGTCTTCTAATACTCTTAAGAGCATGACAAAACCCTAGGTGCATTCCTGGGTGTGAACAGAGAGGGGCGGAATCCCCTTAATGACCCAAAATGTAATGTGTCTGCATACAAAGTCACAACCATGCTTTTTCTTAAATTATGAGATTAATCAAGGTCGGAAGAATATCTGTAACTGAGACAATCTGACTTAATTATCAGGATTTAAAAATGTTATTTCCTCATAAACCTGCTACAGTCACTTCAATCACAGTGGTTTTAGTCCACTCAGACAGGAGATAAATTTGTCAGCAACAGAGAAACACTGTGTTAAGGAAGATGGCTTTCTTGTGGTCACATTTAGCTCTCACATTCAGGATTGCTGCCATTTCCCAAAATGTGGAAAATTGTGTTGGGGTCAGAAGACCCAAAAAAGACAAAAACTAACCAACCAAACCTTAAATTTAGGGACATTAGCTCTATATTGAATAAAAAATGGAAGGCAGCATCCAGGGACCTCTCAGTTGGATATTTTTTTAGCTTATTTCTGGAAGCTTGCTCTATTTATTAGACTGAGTGAAGTCACAGACAGGTGACACAGTAGTAGACCTTTGAAAAATAAATGTTAGGTCTCATTTTTGCAGATTTCATGAAGTATTAAATGCTTTGCATAGAGCATCTAAGGTGACGAATGCACAGATCCAAACTTCCGCCATTTGTGGAGTCAGGGTTGACTAAGGGAAACCCAAACTTCTATTACTATGTTTTAAAAGTAACACCTAATCCCTCAAAACAACGTTCCTGCATTTTAAACACACATTACTGGCAATCCCAAGATTAAAAAGCAGCTAGAAGCTGGGGGGGGGGGGGGGGGTGGGGTGGTGGAAAAAAGAAGAGAGGATAAGGAGAAAGAAAAAGGAGTTGGTTCACTTTGCAAAAGGACTTCTGAAATCTTTCTTCTGTTCTTTCCAGTTCTGCCCTCAAGCTCAGATGGACAACTCATCTCCGAAAAGCTTCCAAAACATGCAAGCTTAAAAATTTGCAAAGAAATTCCTTATAATTCCATTATATTATCAAATAGAGAATTATCCTTATTTAGTTTCAAAATCATGTGGAAGAAACAGTTAACTGACACACAAGTTCCATTGGAATTTAAGCAGAAAGTTTTTTAAGTATCACAAAAGCCCTTTACAGTACAGACACTAACGACAGCACACACAAAGTACCGAGGTAACAGACCATGTGCTGACAGAGTCAAGGCTGCAGTAAGGATAGATTGAGAAGAGCACCCAAAGGAGGTGAGATCTTTGCCAGCTGCTTCTTAACCCACTGCCTCCCAAAAACCAGAGCTGGGCATCTGCAGCAGTGAGGTAAGTGGGAGAGCGCTGTGCTGGAAAGTACCTGAGATGGTACGTAGCCAAAGTGCCCTGATACAGACCCAGTTACTAAGGCTGCCCAGACTTTCTCATTCTAATCATTGTGTTTATTATGCTGCCAAAGAACTACTTTGTTCTACAGAAATGATTTTAGTTGTTTCTAAGACTAAGACTACCAGAAAACAGAGCTGAATCCGAACACCATGGAACTAGAAGAGGATGAAGAGAAGCAAGACAGTACAACTGTGTGACTGTTCTCATTTCACACGAGGAAACACTACATAGGGCGATGCTAACGGGGAGGGTCATCAATCAATCACTCGGTCACCTTCTAAAATCTGCCCTTGCAAAAAGGCAGATCAGCAAACATTCAGTAGTAACAATGGTAACTATTCCTTATGTATCAGTGAGCCTTAATATGAACATAAGGTCTTATACAAGTAATAACCCTGAGGCTAGAGAGATATTTAAGCTATTTTAAATCCTATATAACTCTGGGCAACTTGTGAATTTGAAAAATCACTTAGTATTCATTCAAGAAACACCTCTCTAATGTCTCTAACTTTGCCACTGGTACCATTAATGTTCCCAAGTGGCAAAACACTTCCCAAACACATCTTCACTTACAAATTTAGTTATGCAAAACTGAAGATTTAAGAAAGTTGCAAAATTTTGCAGGTGTTTGTTTGTTTTTAAGGCAGTTGTTCTTTCCAGCTTTCAGGAGCATCAGAACCCAGAAACCAAACATTATTAACACCTTCATGCACCATAGACAATATATACCTTTCTGGTTGTGCAAGGCCTCAAAAAAAATATTATGAGGCACTAGCATCTCACACCAGTGATCAATATTAAATGAAAGACTGCAACTTTTTAGAGGGGAAAATATAAAGCTCAATGACTTGCAAATAACTAGAGAAAGTGCTAAAGATGCTGCTATAAAGACATGCTTAAATTCCTTACGTGTTATAATGTAATCCTGCGTAAGAGTCTCTGCTTGTCTCTCTTTTCGTTTTGTTTTGACCACGCACAATTTTGCTCCCCTAGGAGAAAACAGAGCAGTTCAGTCTGTTTGTTCATATCAAAGAGAAACCATTTTTTGTTCACGACATAGTTTCAAGAAAATTATACAGCACTTTCAATATTCACGGGTGCGTGTAACTTGGCCTGTCCGTGCGCATGTGAAGGAGGGCAGAGAGATTAGTGTTTCTGTTACAGAGCAGTTAATATGACATGTGGAAATAAGGGTGAAAGATTCATTTCACACTTCATTTGTCCACAGTACTTGTAGCATGTACACCGAAAGTGCTCCTCTCCAAACATGGGCAATGATTTGCTCCTCGTGTTCTTCTTAAGCAGCAGAGGTGGCAGTTATCTAACCAGAGGTGTCTGTGACACTGCAGCAGCAAAGCCTGCATAAGCCTGGCTGCAGCAAGGCTGATTTAAATGGGTACTTCTCTCCTTACGATGAGTACCAGGAGACAACCTGGGCACAAAACTGAGCTAGGGCTCTCGTGCTCTGTGCCTACAGATGCAGGCTGAACCTCTAGAGAGGGGTCCAAACAATGATGAACAACTCCCTTGTTCTCTAAATTGACGAAGACTAGAAAAAAAAACCACTTATAATCTTCTGATAATCTTGTAAACCAGAGTTATCTTCACATTCAAGTGTCCAGGTCACAGTAAGCATCCAGAAACTGTGAATTGTAACACAGCATGTTTTTGGATGCCAGTGAAACGGATGAGTGCATATAGGGGAAGAATATCCATTCATACCACCCAGTACAGATGAAGCATACATTTCCCCCCGGCTGATGGGAAGGAAGTATGCCCCAGTTCTCCACCCAATCCAGACTGTGAAAGCAAATTAATTGGAAAAGAAGTATTTATAGACCAGTTAAGTCCTCCTCTTTTCATTCCTGGCTGACATGTCACCTCTGATGAATCACTACCACCTCTCATTTAGATCTACAGGCAAAATCCACATGTGATAGGTGGTGTGGGGGAGAAGACTAGCAGAAAGATGGGAATTTTCCTTGCTTTGCCCCCTCTCAAACTGGGTCTTCCAGTATTAATTCACAGACATTGAAGTTTAAGCTAATGTTTCTAAACAAGATTTTTACTTTGGGGGTGTGTGTGTCTGTGTAATCAAAAATATGACTACGTAGAATAAAAACCCTTTCAATAGCACCAAATTAGCAACTTCCATGAGATCAGATGAAAGGCTGGTTATTCTTACTGCAGATTTCAACCATGTAAAAACTGGAAGTCATACTGCACCATGAAAAGCCCAGAGGAAAATGTGCTGCTTTTCAGAAACAAACTGCTGTGGGTTTTTTTTTTTTCTTTCTTTCTAGTGTTACTAAATAAGTACAACTCTGCAAAACAAATGTTACTAAGCCAGTTTTTCTCATTTCTTAGCAGAATCACAGAACCACAGAATCAGGCTAAATTTGAGGAAAAAAAAAACAATTTTCTTAATCATTAATCATGATTACGTACCTCTGGCTTTTGACAGGATCATAGTACACTTTGGCCAAACCATTTCCTGTACCAACCATGATCTGGTTCAGCTTGGGATGCCAAAGGCAACGCACAACACTCTGAAATAAAGCAACAGATTGATAGTTAATAGGTCATTCATCTAGATCTTAGAATTAATATTCATATTGTCAAACAGAGGAGCGAAGTCACACTGTAGCAGTAACAAGCTTAAGCACATAAATGAATGAATGGAAGTTCCTCTCCGAAGCAGAATACAACGTAAAAGGAGTGACAACACATGGATGTAGGCAGAGAAGGAAGTGCAAATTGGTAGCAGTTTGATAATGAATGGTTTCTACAGGCTAACGGCTCCAGCATTTTCATGAGCATAATGGAAATGTAAAGCTAAAGGGGGATTTGAAAGAGAACAATAAAGTGCTTCAGATATAGCAATGCTGGCCTTCATGAATTCTGCATTCTTAATTCTTCTACCCTATTTCTTTATCTGTTTCTCCCTTCTCACACAGTGCTGGACTTCCACTCGCTGACTGTCGGAATGGAAGAGTAACTGATTTTCACTCTGGGTTCTTTCTTCCTCACAAAACCCAGCAGAACTTGGTATTTGAAGCCAGTGTCTCACAGCTCTGTCACCCTTTTGGTCATCACAGAAACTCATTTACAGACATTAAGAGTATTGTTCTCTTGTACACACAGCGTGTTTCTCCATGTGACTACTGTATTCAGCCTGACTCAGTAGGCCAGCACAGACACTCTGCAAGACTCAAGCTTCTGACTCGAGAGCCAAAGTAGTGTGCACAATCTGCCACGAAGGACAACACATCTTAGCCCAAGCACAAAATCTGCATGGGCATCTGACTGATGGGGAAAAAAGATATCAATTTCTGAGACATAGCAAGTCTTTAAAGGATACTGTCCAAGACTGAAAACAGGTCTTAACAGTGTTTGTTACCTGTGTAATAAATGTATCCAGAGCTAGCAGGATGCATCACCCTGCTAGTACTTCACTCAACAATGCTGATTTTTCTAGCCCCTTTTTCCCCCAAGCTTACTCTCCTTTCTCAAAAATCAGGAATAGTCTCTTTTCAAAGCAAATTAATAACTCAATATTCAACCACTATCATCCCTCTATCATTAAAGTATATATATACACTTTTTCTTGTTTGTTTGTTGTTGTTTTTTATTTTTTTAATATCACACAGCACATGAAATTTCACAAAATGGGAATCACTACTGTCTTAAACAAGAAAAACTCAACAAAACTAAAATATAATTAGGGGTGTAATATAGCCCTATAACTTGGGAGATGAGAACCACCTCATCTGGAAGACAATGGTTATGTGTCAGCTCTGGTGACTCCTGAATCACTTCCCATTTCATGTTCCACATCATTTCTGGTTTGGTCAAGATCCACCCTAATTTTTTTTATTTGATGTTATGAGGCATTTAACAAAAAAATACTGAAAAAATTCTGAAGCCCATTCAGCCCTCTTGACTCAAGCCCTTCATTTTACTACAAGATGACTGATGACTCTCTTCTGAGCTGTTTTTCTGCTATATGTTCTTGTTTAAAAAGAAAAATCGAGTGAGATGAGTTTACATGAATCAACTGACCATTCTTTACAAGGTTCCTCTGTAAAACATACCCTTTCTACACAGATATACGTACATTATACATTCCCATTTATTTACAGGTACAAATAAGTTTGGCTTATTTATTACGAGACAACTAAAGAACAACAATCTTTTTACAGGTAACTCTGAAGTACAAAGCAGAATTCTGATAATGCATTATGTCCATGGCCCCTGCGACAGCGACCAGAATAACCAATACAGGGTTCCTGCGTCCAGGAACACAGCTTTCTAGCAGCCACAGTAAAGAGATTTAACCCCTTACTGGCTGAACCCAGCACACAGGGTTGCTAATAAGTTGCTAATAAGAGATTCTTACCTATTGTTACCTAATGCTTGAAATGCTACAGTAACCCTAAAACACACACAGCAAATAACAAGTACTGAAGGTTCAAAGGTGGGTGGCCTTTTCTTTTATTAATATTTATTGCATGTGTTTTGCCAGCCTTTTTAAACTTTGTAGTTAATGCGGTTCTCCACTTTCTGCTGTCAAGTAAATGTACTTTATAGCATGGTACTGGATACCAGCCAACAAAAACAAAGCCTGATACAGTGTGGCTCAGCACTGATGGGAATTGCTAAGTTCCTAACTTGTCAAACATGCACAGCACACTTAAAAACACCATGGCACGTGCTCCAGAGCAGGCAAAAGAAACTGCCATTAAAGGCAGCCCTATAAATCTTCTGAAACAGTAAAAGTCTCCAGAATACAATCTGTTAAACACTAAACACAAGCTATGAATATGCAAGTAATTTTATTAACTCACTGGCATATAAACGTACTTATAAGAGATAATGAAACCTACTTATGCAGATTTTTAGATTATTTTAGAAATGGGCAATACTTTAAAAAGACTGACATTTTTGAACTAAATCCTAATGATTTTTCCCAACCATATAAACTTGAGAAGTAAAAATTCTAAACAAATATATAAAGGGATCAGTGTAGACTAGGTTTCAACATTGGGAGTGAAAGGGGAAGGAGAATGTTTAACATACATAAATAATTAACTCTTAAAGAGCATTTATGCTTTGATGCCTCTAACTTTGCTACTGTTTACATTTAGAATAACCCAGGTAGACATCTTTAACACTGAAAATGCTAAACATCAAATTCCAGCTCAGAGAAGGTCCTACTTCCTAGCTCTCCAGGCAACAACAAGCAAACAAAGCAAAACCAATAACAACAACAACAAAAAAATCCAAACCCCAAGCTGTTTTCTTATGTTTAAATGGAATTTCCTATAATTAATTTTGTGCCAATTGCCTCTTGTCCTGTCACTGGGCACCACTGAGCTTTACTTTATCTGCTTCACCCTCCTGTCCTCTCTTTTAAGCATTTATGTGGAGGACTCCCCATGAGCCTCCTCCAGGTTGAGCCATCCTGCTCTCTCCGCCTTTCCTTTTGTGCCAGATACTCCAAGCCTTTACGCACCTTTCCAGTCCTTCACTGGACTCACTCTAATACATTCATCCCTCTCTTCTACTGGGAGCTCAGAACTTGACCCAGCGCTATGGATGAGTCTCACCATGGCTGTGCAGAGGGGAATAATGACCTCCCTCAACCTGCTGATGCACATACCACCCATGGGCTTCTTGCTGACACTTCATGTTTCCCTGAGATGGAAAGGGGAATTACCATTCCACAACCATTTTTTAATAATAACTTGTTTCCTTTTAAGGTGGTGCCCTGCAGTGGAACCTAACCCAAACAAGGTGGTACTTCAGTTTTAATTGCTCCTGAGACAGGAGCTCAGGCTGGAAGCGATACCCTCATCAGTTAACCGCAAAGTGCAAGCTCTCACTCCACTTATCAAGGTGGTTTCATGCTTTGTATGAGAAGTAAAATAGCAGGGGATTAAACTGCCTAATATTGCTTTATGGAAACCTAGCACAAAAGATTTGACTAACCATTAGTACTGGTTGTAAGGAAATCCTCTGGATGGCAGCTTCAAGACTCAAAAAATATGAACAACAGACCAAGAAATGAACTAATTGAACTAATGAACAACAGTGAACTAATTCTAGATTCAAACACTCAACACAGACTTAAGCTGTTTGTTATAGCACTTAAAGCTGAAACAAAATAAACCTATGTAGATTCTGAAATTAAACACAAAAAAAAAGAACAATAAAATGCAGAATGTAAAATCACATAAACATCTTCAACACTTGAAAAAGATTTCTGCAATGGCTGGATGTTTTGTACAGTGTGTCTTTGGAGCATGAAGTCCTAGAAGCCTTCCATAAAAATCCTGAAAATTATTGTATACATGGAACTGATGTGGCCAGCTCCATGCCTGTAAGATCTGAAAATGCAGCACTTACAAGAGACAATTCCTAGTGACGATCTAAAAACTGTTTGGTACTTTTGCTGTTGCAAAAGCATTAAGTTCTTCAAATGAAATCAATCTGAAAAGCCTTTGGCAATGTCTATTTAATATACAAACACAGTAGCCTACATTGGAAATGCTGGGAAAAGATTGTGAAAATATTTTTGTAAAGTCATGCAGGGAAAAATATTTAAAAAGTTAACAAAGATAAACACTCCAAATTTCCCTTCTTCAATGTCACACTAATAATGTTAGAACAGATTCAGTGGTTGTCATTGATAGTAGGACTTGATAATTACTTTCAGGTAACAGGTTGTCTTGTAACACTGAGTCAAATTGAAAATCAATTAAAAAAATACCTTTACACTTTTAAATACATCATTTTTGCAATCTGAACGAAAATGTTTGTCTTCTTCAACGACTGCCTACTAAAATAACACATTACTGATAGTTCTTGAAACTAGCCATATCTTTTTCTAAAAAAAAAAAAAAAAGTAATCAAGTAATGTTACCACATTATTACTTGAGAAAGACAAAAGGAATTACCCCAACAATATATGTATTCTTACTTTATTTTTAAACTAAGCACTACACTCTCTTCAGACTCTAAATTCTTTTAAGATAGATTCTAGATTTAGAAAGATTTCACCTACAATAACTTAAAAACTCAATAATATGGGGTAACCTTAAATCGTAAAACTCAAATACGTAGAAAGGTGGCAGGGGAAGGTGATGATAGCATTTTTCCCTCGTGTGCCACTCCACCTGCATTTCTTCTGAGACGTGCAGTCCCAGCTCATGTGCAGTTCTGGGGTGGTTCATAAATACTCTCACCCCTAACAGTCTGCTCCCACCTGTGTGTTTCCTTTTGTATCATAAGCAGAACTGTCACTGCAGGTAGACAGCAAACCACACCAAATAATTTTTGTTAGGTTACACTCCATCTGGGTTAGCTCACTAGGCAACTACACACGTGGCTTTGCTGGTACAGTGCATGTAGCAGTGCTTTGACAGGATTAAACAGCAGTGCCTCTGAATGAGAAACTGGAGCCTGAAACATAGTTTTCTGTAACACAGAATGGGACGTTTATTCTGGCCCAGAAATATACCCCTGTGTTAACAGGCAAGGTGAAGAA